ACGAGGATGAAGCGACCAACTATCCGACAGAATTTTTGAACTCACTGGATGCGCCAGGAACTCCGCCGCATAATTTGCAACTAAAGGTGGGATCGATTATTATAATGCTGCGAAATCTAAATCATCCGAGATTATGCAACGGTACTCGGTTGTCCGTTAAGAAACTAATGAACAACGTGATTCAAGCGACTATCATCAAGGAAAAATTTAAAGGAGAGGAAGTTCTTATCCCACGAATTCCGATTATTCCAACAGATCTTCCATTCCAATTCAAGAGGATTCAGTTCCCAGTTCGATTGGTTTGTTTAAAAGTCATCACTTCTTTTTGATTATCAACTAATTTTGAATTCAAATTTTAGGAGAAGATAGGAATAAGGTAAGGTAATAATGTACGTCAAAGTAGAAACGGAACGTCTCAATTTAATTTGTTTTAATCAGTCGAAGTTGGGGCGAGATAAAGTTCGCCGGGAAGAATAAGGACGTAGATAGTTTGAATTTCCTTATTTAAAGTCAAATCGCTGGAGAACTGCATTCATACAGATCCTATGACAGCGTGACCGACGATGATGAAGCGACCAACTATCCGACAGAATTTTTGAGCTCACTGGATGTGCCAGGAACTCCGCCGCATAATTTGCAACTAAAGGTGGGATCGATTATTATAATGCTGCGGAATCTAAATCATCCGAGATTATGCAACGGTACTCGGTTGTCCGTTAAGAAACTAATGAACAACGTGATTCAAGCGACTATCATCAAGGAAAAATTTAAAGGAGAGGAAGTTCTTATCCCACGAATTCCGATTATTCCAACAGATCTTCCATTCCAATTCAAGAGGATTCAGTTCCCAGTTCGATTGGTTTGTTTAAAAGTCATCACTTCTTTTTGATTATCAACTAATTTTGAATTCAAATTTTAGGAGAAGATAGGAATAAGGTACGGTAATAATGTACGTCAAAGTAGAAGCGGAACGTCTCAATTTAATTTGTTTTAATCAGTCGAAGTTGGGGCGAGATAAAGTTCGCCGGGAAGAATAAGGACGTAGATAGTTTGAATTTCCTTATTCAAAGTCAAATCGCTGGAGAACTGCATTCATACAGATCCGTTGACAGCGTGACCGACGAGGATGAAGCGACCAACTATCCGACATAATTTTTGAACTCACTGGTTTGTTTAAAAGTCATCACTTCTTTTTGATTCTCAACTAATTTTGAATTCAAATTTTAGCCTAAAATTTTTAGGAGAAGATAGGAATAAGGTCAGCTCTATGAATTTTTATGCGTATTGATTGAAGATGTTTCAATAGTAGTGCTTCGACATGTACGTCAAAGTAGAAACGGAACGTCTCAATTTAATTTGTTTTAATCAGTCGAAGTTGGGGCGAGATAAAGTTCGCCGGGTCCGCTAGTTTCTTATATAGTTGAATATTTCTTAATTATTTTTTATTTATTTAATTTTGTTTACAGATAAGGCTCTGGAAAATAATCTAATCAGTGAAGGGATTTTTTATGTAGACGCAGATGAAGAAGAAGAAGAAGCAGGACGGCTATATGAAAATGAACTTATTTATATGGAAGGCGGGGTTGAAAATTATTGTTAGAAATATAGAGTATATGGCAACGCCGTCTGTCAGCCGATTCCGATAGTTGCCTGCGAGCAACTGCACATCGAGTATCGCATATCGAGTATCGATGATTCTGTTCTGTAATTTCGCAACGTGTGGACGCGTCTCTCTCTTAATTTTGTATTCTAAAACTCGTAAATAAAGCATTAAAACATTTCCAATAGGTTATGGGCCCAGAGTGCCTTCATTGCGCGAAAAGAATACAAAGAGTTTTTAGCGGTCGTATTTACTAATCGCGGCAAATAAGTGAACTTGTCCCTGCGAGGAATGTTCTGGACTTAAGGCCGAGTAAATAGCTTCGCGCGAAAAAACTGTGGTTGCGGTTGTGTGTGTGTGTGTTATAGTTGCGGTAAAAAGTGATCTTGTCCCTGCGTGGAAAGTTCTGGACTTAAGGCTGAGTTAGCAGCTTCGCGACTACACACGGGAAAAATGAATCCGAGTATGAATTCGATCGAAAGACTGGACGATGAAAATTACAGCGCGTGGGCTGTACAAATGAAAAGCGTTTTGGTATACGCAGATTTGTGGGCAGTGGTTTGCCGTCGTTTGGTAAAAAACGAAGATGACAGTCAAGAAGTGAAGGCTGCATTTGATGTGAAAGACGAGAAAGCTCTTGCGAGTATTATGTTGCACATAAAACCGTCTCAAATAAACCACGTGAAACATTGTGTTAGTTCAGCAGAAGCATGGGAGAAGCTTCTAGCAATACATAGGCCAACAGGGCCGGCGAGGCGTGTTTTTCTACTTCGACAATTGCTTCGCATGAAAATGGCAGAAGAAGACAATGTCGGAGCGCATATAAATAAGTTTTCGGACATTCTGGAGAAACTTAACGAAGTCGGGGTGACGCTACCCGAAGAAGTAACGGTTATTTTGTTGCTGTCTGGCCTAAGTGATGGTCTTGAAAATTTTGTCGTTGCTGTCGAGACGCGCGACAGATTGCCGTCGTTGCATCTCCTAAAAATAAAATTGTTGGAAGAAGGAGAGAGACGGAAGAACGACGAAACGGTTCGCGAGAAAGAAACAAGAATGTTCGCGTCGCGAAATGAAAAGAGTGCGGTTAAAACCGAATGGAAGAACAAAAACAAAAACAAGAGAGCGTGTTGGATATGCGGTCGTCAAGGGCATATCGCGGTTAACTGTCGTGAAAAAGAAAAGGACGAGAAGAAAGATGGAGAAAAGAAGGAGAATAGTCGGAACTATTCAGTTTTCTCGTACGGGCCGAAGTTCGGAGAGCGTAAAGAGAGTGTTTGGTGTTTAGACAGTGGCGCCACGACGCATTTGTGTTGCGATCGTTCCAGCTTTATACATATAAAGGAACACAGAGAGAAAATAATGTTGGCCGGTAGTAATAGCATCATGGCGGAAGGCCTTGGAAAGGTGCGCATACAGTGGAAGAAAAGTACGATCGATTTAGTGGATGTACTTTATGTAAAAGATTTGCAGTGTAATTTTTTATCCGTATCGAGAGCGGTTGAAAATGGATTCCGTGCAGAGTTTTCTGGAAATAGTGCGCAAATAATAAACAGAAATGGACATGTTGTGTTGAGTGCCGACAAGAAAAATGATTTGTTTTTGATTGAAACAAACAAGAGTGTATGTTTTGCGGCAGAAGCGAAAGGCTCAGAAATAATTAAGTGGCATTACAGATTTGGACATTTAAACTTCGGAAGTCTAAATAAAATGATGAAAAACAACATGGTGCGTGGACTAAAGGCAAATCAGTGTGACATGCGAGATCATGTTTGGGAAACGTGTGCAAAGTGTAAAATAACTGTAAAGCCGTTTCCTAAAGCTGCAGAGAATCGGGCGAATAATATTTTGCAACGTGTACACACAGACATTTGCGGGCCGATGAGCAAAACATCCAACGGTGGATCTCGGTATTTCGTGACATTTATAGACGATAAATCGCGATATATGCATGTTTGTTTCCTGAAGACGCGTGATGAAGTTTTCGAAAAGTTCAAGGAGTTCAAAGCCTTGGTGGAGAAACAAACTGGAGAAAAGCTTAAAATCTTGAGAAGCGATAATGGACGTGAGTACTTGAGTGGAGTATTTACGCAGTTCCTGGTAAGCAATGGAATAAAGAGAGAGCTTACTGTACCGTATACACCTCAACCAAACGGTGTGGCGGAAAGAGCTAACAGGACACTGGTTGAGATGGCCCGGAGCATGTTGCAGTACGCTAATTTGGACGAAGCATTTTGGGCGGAAGCCGTAGCTGCTGCAGCATACTTGCGGAACAGGTCGGAGTCATCATCGTTGAGGGATATGACACCATTCGAAGCTTGGTTCGGACGGAAGCCGAGTGTATCTCATCTCAAAATATTCGGAGTCAAAGCGATTGCTTTGGACAAGAAGCATTTTCGTAAATTCCAACCAAAGGGAATTGAGTACATTTTTGTAGGGTACTCAGATACGGCTGCTGCTTACCGTTTGTACAATCCTAGTACAGGAAAGCTTATAGAGTCTCGTGACGTAATATTTTTGGAGTACTTTCAGAAGCAAGAAAGTAAAGAATCGAATTTCGCTCCTCAAATCGAAGAGACTGCAGCGTATGACGAAAATGAGCTCAACACAGATGTCAGCAGAGAAGAATAACCAGAAGAAGAAGATAAACCAGATGAGGATGTGCTGCCAGAAGAGGAGGTGTTTCCAGATGAAGATGTGCTGCCAGAAGCAGAGGTGCTGCTTAGCGATAAACGGGGTCCAGGGAGACCAAAACTGATTCGAACTGGGCGGCGTGGGAGACCTCGAAAGGAGTATCAGACTGTCAATGTCATAAAACGAGATATTGAGGTTCCAGCAAGCGTAAACGATGCATTGAGTTCCAAATATGCAGAGGACTGGAAGAATTCTATGCCTCAGGAAATTGAGAGCCTGCAAGAAAGGAGAACTTGGACACTCGTCGAGTTACCTGAGGGAGAGAAGGCCATTGGATGCAAGTGGGTCTTCGCGGTCAAGAAAGATAAACATGGAAATGTGGAGCGTCTGAAGTCACGGCTTGTCGCAAAGGGCTGTGGGCAAAAATATGGCATCAACTACTCTGAGACGTTTTCACCGGTGGCCAGATATTCATCAATAAGGCTTATGATTGCTGTAGCAGTTGAACGTGGTATGTATATGCACCAGCTTGATGTTTCGTCTGCTTATCTCAACAGTGAACTCCATGACGTGGTCTATATGAGACAACCTGAGGGGGTTTACTGACGCAAAGCATCCAGGAAAGGTCCTTAAGCTGCACAAATCGCTGTACGGTCTAAAACAAAGTGGCCGTGAGTGGAATAGCAACCTGGACGAAGTCATCCTGCAGTTGGGGTTCTCAGCATGTCCGAGTGAACCCTGCATCTACAAAAGGGGTCAAGGTGACCAAATGAGCTTCATCATAGTCTACGTAGATGACATCATAGTTGCGAGCGACTCAGAAGCTGAGCTGAGCGAGATCAAGTACCTTATATCGAAGAGGTACGATGTTGTCGATGGCGGCATCCTGAAACATTTCCTAGGAATGGAATTTGAGCGAGATGGCGAAGTTGGCAGTGTTCGAGTGGGTCATAAGCAGTACATAGAGGCCTTATTGGAGGACTACGGGATGCAAAACTGTAAGGCATCCAATCTACCCCTCGAAGCTGGCTACCAAGTTCGATGCAGCAAGAAGGAGTGCATGAGAGCGAATCAGGTTGAGTACCAGTCCCTGATAGGCTCGCTCATGTATTTGGCTATAACTACGAGGCCAGATATACTACATTCCGTGGCGAAGCTTGCGCAACGGAACTCGGATCCTCATCAAGAGCACATGGTGTGTGCCAAGCGTGTCTTGAGGTACCTACAGGGTACGAAGACGTTCCAGTTAAACTATCAGCGAACTGGACAGGCTGTCTACTGTTATGTGGACGCCGACTGGGCTGGAGATGACAGCGACCGGAAGTCATTCACTGGCTGGACATTTTTGGTAGCAGGCGCAGCCATCAATTGGGAGTCCAAGAAGCAGCCCGTGGTAGCTCTCAGTACCACAGAAGCCGAGTATATAGCACTTTCTTCAGCGGCAAAGGAAGCAGTATATATCCGTAAGCTTTGGAGTGAGATGGGTCTTGGTGAAGTCCCACCGATTGTAATACACAGCGATAACCAAAGCGCGCAGTGCCTAGTAAAGAATCCTGTATATCACGCGCGCAGCAAACATATAGACATTAGGTATCATCATGTAAGAGATATGTTTAAGGAAAAAATCATAGATTTGAGATATGTATCAACAGAAAACATGATGGCAGATGTGTTAACTAAGAATTTGAGCAAAGTTAAGCACTTGAAATGTATTAATGTGATGGGTTTGCTGTAAATTATGTACTTTAGTTATCCTGTAACAAACAGACAAACAGCGTTGAGAAGGAGTGTTAGAAATATAGAGTATATGGCAACGCCGTCTGTCAGCCGATTCCGATAGTTGCCTGCGAGCAACTGCACATCGAGTATCGCATATCGAGTATCGATGATTCTGTTCTGTAATTTCGCAACGTGTGGACGCGTCTCTCTCTTAATTTTGTATTCTAAAAACTCGTAAATAAAGCATTAAAACATTTCCAATAATTATAAACAAATCTTACCGTTAAATATAGACCAAGAAGATGAAAACCCCCTCCCCCTCCTTTTGTTGATGTTGATGATACAAACCAAAACGATAATGATGTAATTTTAATGGAGGAAGGATTAACTAATTACACCCAAATTGTGAAATCTAATATATTAGATCCAAAAGAAGAATTTTCCACCAATAATGTAATAAATCAAGTTATTTAAAAATTTTTTTTTGAAATTTCTATCGTTTCTTTATTTAAAAAATAAAAATAAAAATATTTGTTCTAAAATTGTTATTATTACTAACTTTTTAAATTGATTAAGAAATTATACATTTGTTCTTAAAAATATAATGAATATAAATAAAACTAATCATTTTTATTGTTCAAAAAATTAATATTGTTTAAAAAATATATACAATTGTTCTTAAAAATATAATGTTATAAATATAACTAAATAAAACTATTCATTTTTATTGTTCAAAAAATTAATATTGTTAAAAAAAAAATACACATTTGTTCTTAGAATTAAGTTTTTACATGTTTTAAAATGTTTTCTTAAATAAAATTGTACTTGTTTATTATACTATACTAGCGGACCCGGCGAACTTTATCTCGCCCCAACTTCGACTGATTAAAACAAATTAAATTGAGACGTTCCGTTTCTACTTTGACGTACATGTCGAAACAGTACTGTTGAAACATCATCAATCGATACGCATAAAAATTCATAGAGCTGACCTTATTCCTATCTTCTCCTAAAAATTTTAGGCTAAAATTTGAATTCAAAATTAGTTGAGAATCAAAAAGAAGTGATGACTTTTAAACAAACCTGTCGTTGGATTGACAAATTTTTTTCACTTGAAATCTGTGGAGAGCGATCTGATAAACAATATTTTTTGTTTTGTTATCCGGTGTAAAAATAAATAATGATGACGGCTTTCCCACACGCGAACAGGCTACGTATAGCTGGCCATGTGAAAAATATGGATATTCTAGATTTATCCCGCAGACTTCCAACGATTGGCCTTGCGATTTATTGATGGTCATCGCAAATGCCAATCGAACTGGGAACTGAATCGTCTTGAATTGGAATGGAAGATCTGTTGGAATAATAGGAATTCGTGGGATAAGAACTACCTCTCCTTTAAATTTGCCCTTGCATATGGCGCGGACTTCCAACATAAGTTGCTGGGAGATTGGTCAAACAACCGATGTTGTTCGCGTGTCCTTCAGTAGCGATGGCGTCACGCAAGTGAATGTACTCGTCTGAGCGCAACTTCGACTGATTAAAACGAATGAAATTGAGACTTTTTTTTGGGACAGTACTGTTGAAACAAACGGTGGTATCTTAACAGATGATTGTCAACATCTAGTCGAATCATCAATCGATACGCATCAAAATTCATAGAGTTGACGTTCTTATTCGTTTCTTCTCCTAGAATTTGAATTCAAACTTAGTTGTAGAATCAAAAAGAAGTGATGACTTGTAAACAAACCTGTCGTTGGATTGACCATCTTTATATTGAAGTGATACCCATCTTCTCCACGACAGAACATTAACGGATATTGAAGAGCATCATGTGACCGATGAGTCTCATAAACTCGCTGCACTTGGCCATTATCCCGACGGTTAAAAACAATATCGCGTTATTCCACATTCTCGCCAACAATCACCAATGCGTGTTCATTGATAGTGGGAGCGTTAAATTGTCTTGCATGGCTACCAGTGGGTCTTTTGTCAGCGCTGATAATGATTTTATGTTCGTCATAATGCATTATATCCAATGAAGTTTTGAACAATCTTACCAATTCATTATGCACATAGAGAAGATTTTGCAATTGTTCGATAATTTCACGTTAAGTTTCAGTAAAAATTGCACAGCGGTGATTTAGTTCAACTGCCGAATCACCAATGAAATAGATCTGAAGGAATTTAAGATCTTTGTTTTGTGGTGATAACAAAGCGCCCGCTCGGTGTTGAATTTGCCCATGAATCTGAATGTTGGAATGCAATTTTAAAAAATGTGAGTTGTTAATTTTGATAATAAAAGAGACGCCATTACCTTATAACTTGGATTGTAGCCTGATTGATGAAAAACCTCGACTCCAAATGACGTAATTGGAAAGCATCCGTTATATTTTTGTGCAAGATTTAGGAAACTGTTTGATTGGGCTGAATTTCTATATAGTAGCGAATACAATGGCCCTGGTGGATGAGCCAAAACGGGCAATTTAATTTTGCCACCTGCACAGCATAAGCCGGGGGTTTCCAACCGAAACTTCAGTGCATTCCAATCCTAGACAATGAACCAATAACAACGCAGGTAAGATCCTTGTAGGATGTTTCAGGATTGTATGCGAATGCAGCGCGATTCAAGTTTTCATTTGCGGCTCGTCTTTCTCTATTATTATGTCGGGCTTGAGGTGATCTTTGTGGAGCGAGAAGCTGTGCCATTTGGGCACGTATCGATGCATTTATTTCTGTACGTTCCTCTTGCGTCCGACTATTACGGGAATTCTGAATACTTATTGCATTGCGTGAACGCCGTCCAAGTCTTGATCGTCTAACAGCAGGCATTACTTCCAATTGTTAATGCTTCGTTAGCTCGATTTTTTTGTTTAAATATTTTTTTACCGAGTTCATTGATACACAATTTCAACGCAGCTATGATCTTTGTAGGGTGTTTCAGAATTTTACATACAACAGTGTGTCCATCTGTTGAGCCGCTAGCGACCTTTCCGGAAGGACTTCCCAAAATTTTCTTACTGCTATAACTTCTTCTGGCAATTACAAACAACTGAAAAAAATTGAGCCAAATCGGCCCAGCCGTTCTCTTGTGATGCCATTAGTAACATTTTTTGTCTCCATTTTTATATATATAGACTAGCGGACCCGGCGAACTTTATCTCGCCCCAACTTCGACTGATTAAAACAAATTAAATTGAGACGTTCCGTTTCTACTTTGACGTACATGTCGAAACACTACTATTGAAACATCTTTAATCAATACGCATAAAAATTCATAGAGCTGACCTTATTCCTATCTTCTCCTAAAAATTTTAGGCTAAAATTTGAATTCAAAATTAGTTGAGAATCAAAAGAAGTGATGACTTTTAAACAAACCAGTGAGTTCAAAAATTATGTCGGATAGTTGGTCGCTTCATCCTCGTCGGTCACGCTGTCAACGGATCTGTATGAATGCAGTTCTCCAGCGATTTGACTTTGAATAAGGAAATTCAAACTATCTACGTCCTTATTCTTCCCGGCGAACTTTATCTCGCCCCAACTTCGACTGATTAAAACAAATTAAATTGAGACGTTCCGTTTCTACTTTGACGTACATTATTACCTTACCTTATTCCTATCTTCTCCTAAAATTTGAATTCAAAATTAGTTGATAATCAAAAAGAAGTGATGACTTTTAAACAAACCAATCGAACTGGGAACTGAATCCTCTTGAATTGGAATGGAAGATCTGTTGGAATAATCGGAATTCGTGGGATAAGAACTTCCTCTCCTTTAAATTTTTCCTTGATGATAGTCGCTTGAATCACGTTGTTCATTAGTTTCTTAACGGACAACCGAGTACCGTTGCATAATCTCGGATGATTTAGATTCCGCAGCATTATAATAATCGATCCCACCTTTAGTTGCAAATTATGCGGCGGAGTTCCTGGCACATCCAGTGAGCTCAAAAATTCTGTCGGATAGTTGGTCGCTTCATCATCGTCGGTCACGCTGTCATAGGATCTGTATGAATGCAGTTCTCCAGCGATTTGACTTTAAATAAGGAAATTCAAACTATCTACGTCCTTATTCTTCCCGGCGAACTTTATCTCGCCCCAACTTCGACTGATTAAAACAAATTAAATTGAGACGTTCCGTTTCTACTTTGACGTACATTATTACCTTACCTTATTCCTATCTTCTCCTAAAATTTGAATTCAAAATTAGTTGATAATCAAAAAGAAGTGATGACTTTTAAACAAACCTTTCGTTGGATTGACAAATTTTTTTGACTTGAAATTAGTGGAGAGCGATCTGATAAACAATATTTTTTTGTTTTGTTATCCGGTGCAAAAATGAATAATGATGACGGCTTTCCCACACGCGAACAGGCTACGTATAGCTGGCCATGTGAAAAACATGGATATTCCAGATTTATCCCGCAGACTTCCAACGATTGGCCTTGCGATTTATTGATTGTCATCGCAAATGCCAATCGAACTGGGAACTGAATCCTCTTGAATTGGAATGGAAGATCAGTTGGAATAATCGGAATTCGTGGGATAAGAACTTCCTCTCCTTTAAATTTTCCCTTTATGATAGTCGCTTGAATCAAGTTGTTCAATAGTTTCTTAACGGACAACCGAGTACCGTTGCATAATTTTGGATGATTTAGATTTCGCAGCATTATAATAATCGATCCCACCTTTAGTTGCAAATTATGCGGCGGAGTTCCTGGCACATCCAGTGAGCTCAAAAATTCTGTCGGATAGTT